AGACTAGGGGTAGGCAGGCTGTTCCAAAGGAAAGGAGGTGCCTGTGAGAAATCTTGCAGGCATGAATTAGCAGTAAGCGTGCATGAAACAGCAGACAGGAGAAGGTCACCAGTATAGCGGAGAGACCGAGAGGGGGCTTACCTATGAATCAGTGAAGAAATGTAAGAGCGACTAGAGTTGGTTAGGGCTTTATAGGTAAGGGTTAGTATTTTAAATTGGCACCTGTAGGGTACCGGAAGCCAGTGTAAGGATTGACAGGTGGTGTGAGAGGAGCGGTGTGAGAGCAGCAGCATTCATCACAGATTGTAGGGGGACAGTACGGCTTCTGGGGAGACCAATTAGGAGAGAATTACAGTAATCCATGCAAGAGATTACTAGAGCATGACAAGCTCCTTGGCAGCAACCTGCGTAAGAAAGGGGCATACGTGGGCAATGTTTATAAGCTGGAATCGACAGGTTTTAGTAACAGACTGGACATGAGGTGTAAAGGGGAGGCCAGGATCAAAAATTACACCAAGACAGCGATCTTGAAAGGATGGGGTGAGGCAGGTACCATCAACCTGCAGGGAGAGGGAATGAGGAGGATCAGTGTTATGAGGAGGAAAAATAAGAAACTCAGTTTTAGAAAGATTGAGTTTCAGAAAGCGGGAAGACATCCAATCAGAGATAGAAGAGAGGCAATTGGTGAAACGTTGTAGGACAGCAGGGGAGAGGTCAGGGGAGGAGAGGTATATCTGGGTGTCGTCGGTGTACAGGTGGTAGCGAAATCCATATGAATTAATGAGTTTGCCAAGAGAGGTAGTATAGAGAGAGAACAAAAGGGGACAAAGAACTGAACCTTGAGGGACTTCGACTGAGACAGGACGAGGAGAGGAGGTGTTGTTGGAAAAAGAGACACTGAAGGAGCGTTGGGAGAGATAGGAGGAGAACCATGAGAGGGCTGTGTCACAGAGACCAAGATATTAAAGAGTTAGGAGAAGTAGGCCATGATCAACAGTGTGAAAGGCAGCAGATAGGTCAAGAAGAATTAGTATGGAGTAGTGGCCTTTGGATTTAGCTCCGATTAGGTCATTTGTAACTTTAATAAGAGCAGTCTCAGTATAGTGGAGGGGGCAAAAGCCAGATTGAAGAGGATTGAAGAGGGAGTTGGAATTTAAGAAATGAGTCATACGAGTAAAGACAAGTCTTTCTAGAAGTTTTGAGGAAAAAGGAAGCAGGAATATAGGACGATAGTTTGAAGGGGAATGGATTGGGATGGCTTTTTTAGGATGGGTATGACAGTAGCATGCTTAAGGGGAGCAGGGACAACACCAGATGAAAGAGATCAGTTTAGGATGTGTGTTAAGGATGGTACAAGACAAGGGAAGAGAGATCTGATAAGGTGGGAAGGTACTGGATCAAGTGGACAGGTGGTGGTAAGAGAGGAGAAGCGAGGCCATCACCTGTTCTGTAGCTGGAGAAGGCCTGTAGGGCAGGAAAGGTACAGTCGATGTGTGGTTGCGAAAGGGAGGAGCAAAGAGGGGAGAATTCTTTACTTAACTGTTCAATCTTGTCGGTATAGTATATTTACCATAACAACCACTATCTGTTTTCACTATATAAAACCAGCTTTTACACTGATATTTTTTAGAACTGCTACCACTGCTACCAAAAATTCCCAGATTTTACTATTAACATGACGTAAAGTCATGATTTTATTAAAGACACGGAGGCGAGTATTATGCATAACTCTTTCTTTATTTCCTCAGCAGCAAAGATAGAGGAATATAAATATTGTCAAAATGAAAGAAAAAAACTGTATAGATACACAGGCAACCAATCACATAACAGAGGAAGTGACTATAAAAGGCCTGTGTCTCCCACAATCCCCCTCTTTCTTGCGGAAACCGAAGACCAGGTAAGAAGAACGAAATCCAACTTGTCCATAACAGGAAAAAGGCAACGAACCGAGAACTTCAAGCTAAAAGAGAGAGAGAAATATGGTAAAACCCAGACTCCAAACTATAGACTTACCAAAACAAACTGTTGGTTACTCAACGACAGATAATATAGGGATCAAAGCAAATATTAGCAGTTCCATGATAAACCGGAATCTGAAAAACATAAAATAAATAATTAGTTGATATAACAAGTGAGTCACATACCCAGAGCGACATCAGAAAAACATACCGACATGAAAAAACGTACCTGAAGAGCTCAATAGCATCTCATCCCTATACCCTCACGGGAGGGTGGGAGGGAATAATATTCGCCTCCGTGTCTTTAATAAAATCATGACTTTACGTCATGTTAATAGTAAAATCTGGGAATTTTATTAAAGACACGGAGGCTCATATTATGCAAGTTTAAAGCTGTGCGATCACCTGAGATGCGATATGCTCAATAGGTTTGAAATAGAAATCACGGAAGGTCGATTCTCTAGACCAGTCCACAGCCCGCATGATGTCCTCTAGTCGACAGCCGACCGTGGATGCCTTTGAAGCCATAGCACCCCGAACAGAGTGAGGCGTAAAGACCGAAGTGTCTATACCCGCCGAGGATAAAAGCCAGCGTACCCATCGTGCCAGAGTCGGAGTCGAAACAGGCCTATGAGGTGTCCTAAAAGACACGAATAGAGGATGTAAGTCCAAGGAACGAAAAGATCGTGTAGCGTCCAAATAAGTCCTCAGACATTCAACCGGACACAATGCTGGAGAGCCCAGGAACCTAGGATACGTGAACGACTTGGATGCCGACTTTGTCCTCCTGGATATGTTGAAAGTAACACCCTCCGGGGTGAAGACAATGGCGTCCCAATCAAGGGCCCTAACATCAGACACCCTCTTACACGAAACCAAACAGAGTAGCATCACTAGTTTGGAGGATAATTGTTTGAGACTCAGTTCGTGGTTAGGATACCAAGATGAGAGGAATCGTAACATGACGGTGACGTCCCAGAAGGCAGAGAAACGAGGTCTAGGAGGGCGAGCAAGGCGGATGCCCTTGAGAAGGCGACACACAAAAGGATGTCTGCCGACTGGTGAGCCATCCAAACCACTATGCCCGGCCGAAATCGCCGAGCGGTAGAGGTTGACAGTGCGGTACGCCTTGCCCGTCTCAAACAGTGTCGTGAGAAACTCCAGGATCAGATGGAGAGGGGCAGATACGGGATCCACAGACCGTTCCATGCACCAATCAGACCACGAATTCCATGAAGC